GGCAATATAACCTTTCCTTGTTTTATTTTTCTTTAAAAGAATCCATCTCTTGCCCAAGTGAAAATTGAAGAAGCAAAGAGAGAATTGGTAAGTATTCCACTTTTTCCTAAATAAACTAAATACTGATATAGCTAACGCCCCCTTCATCCTTCTTCTTTCCTTCCTCCTCAGAGGTAAATCACAGTCCCAAAGTTGCTGTGTATCATTCCCATGCATGTTTTAGTACTTTTTTGGCATGTGTGTGTATATATATATAATTTTCCTAAAAAATACATGTTTTATGTCTTTAAAGTTTTGCATAAATTTTCCTGGATGGAAAAGGGAGGTTGAGAGGATAGAATATTCTAGGCCAAAGGAAGTAGCAAAGACATAAGAGCTGAAAAATGGAGGACTTTTCCAAGCTACAGCAAATGAGGAGGAGTAGTACCACAAGCTAGTCAAGAGTATGCAATGGAAGATAGCGTTGAAAAGGTCAACTGGTTTATAATGTAAAGGGGCTTACTTATTAACAATAGTTGAGCTTCGAGGCTGTCGGGAACCACTGAAAGTTTTTTTTTAAGCTGAAAAGAAATGTGATCAAAGCTATGCTTTTTAATCAGGCCAGTGCTTTAGGAAGATTATTCTGGAAGCAGTGTATAGGGTGGATCAGAGGAGAGAAGGGAAATTACAGAAACCAGTTGGCTTATTTAGGCTAGATGAGAATGAGGACAGTGGCAATGAGAATAGAAAAGAGGGGATGCAAGGGACGTTGTGGAAGTCTGTTGCTTGAGGAGTAAAGATCAGAAGAATCTATTCACATATCCGTACACCATCTCATCCCACTAAAGAGTTTCTCCCCCGTCAAATGTTTGTTACAATTAGTAGTCTGAAAACTTTTTTTTTTTTGTCGGGGGTGGGGAGCGTTTGGGAGGTGTAAAAGCAAGGAAATCTTGAAAAGCATGTTTGATATTCGTAGTGGTATTTGTCTAAATTTCAGTTTTAATGGTTTTTTTGTCTTTGGCTTCCCTTATTTTAAATAATATTTGAAGTTAGGACACCTATTTTATGTGCTTATTTATAGTATGTTTGCTGTTTCTTTCTTCCTTTAGGATACCATTGAAGCTGAACTTACACAGAAAGTGGAGATGATGGAACTGTGACCACAGCCAAATGAACGTCATTTTTCCTAGTAGGGTAAATTGGATAGGACTTCAAAGAATGTTTTTCCTCTCAGCATTCCTTAGTAATTTAATTTCTGTGTTCTTAGATAATAATGTCATTGTTGATAGAATACTGGTTTCTGCTTGTCTATTGCATTTTCATGCCCAAATACAAAATAGTGTTTATATTAAAAAGCATTTTCTCTCTCTTGCTCTTTTTTTTTTTAATAAAAAAGGCTATTCTCTTGATTGTCAGTTTTCTCTGTTGATGGTGGATAAGTGTCCTTCAACAGAACCATTAGGTGAACGTCATATCAGTTGTCATGCATTCGCTGAGTCGGTCAGGTAAAGTGAAAAGTAAGGGTCTGCAACTCCAGCTATGTTTCTCCCGCTCCCTTCCCTCTCCTGGGTTTTGCTGTTGTCCTTTCTGATTAGCTCACCTGTCTACCTTGTGCCTCCCCTGCTCCCAATCTCTGTCACACTCCCATTCTGAAAATCAAGATAAACTGTTTTCCTTCCCCAGGCTCCCTGTGTATGGTCACCCACTGAAGTGTGACTATAAAGTCAGGACGTGTTTACCCTTTCAGTGTAGTCACACTGACATACTGTACCAAAACCATACCTGTTGTCATCAAGTTGATTCTGGCATACTGTATCTGCACTTTTTAAAATCACATATGATAGGCAGTCTGTAAGTTTCCCATAGTTCTACTCCCCAGAATTAATAATTGTTATGAGTTTATTTTATAAATGGGGGTCTTTCTTATCCAAGTGTTCATTTTCTGAATTTCTGCAGTTATGAGGTTGTATGGAAAGTAAAAGACAGCATAACCCAAAAATATTTGCTAACAACTTTAGTACCCATCAACAGATGAATGGATAAACAAATTATGGTACATACCCTCAATGGAATACTATGCAACAATAAAGAACAATGGTGAATCCGCAAAACATCTTGCTATATGGATGAACCTGGAGGGCATTATGCTGAGTGAAATAAGTCAATCACTAAAGGACAAATATTGTATGAAACCACTGTTTTAAAAACTCAGGAAAGGGTTCACACACACAAAAAAAACATTCTTTCATGGTTATGAGAGTGGGGAGGGGAAATCACTAACTAGATAGACAAGTGTTAACTTTGGTGAAGAAAAAGTTAATATACAATATCGGGGAAGTCAGCACAACTTGACCAGGGTAAAGGCATAGAAGCTTCACAGACACATCCAAACAGCTTGAGGGACTGAGTTACTGGGGCTGAGGGCTAGGGATTATAGTCTCATGGGATATCCAGGTCAATTGGCATAACATAGATCATAAAGAAAATGTTCTACATCCTACTTTGGTGAGTAGCATCTGGGGTCTTAAAAGTTTGTGAGTGGATGTCTAAGATACATCTATTGTTCCCATCCCGTCCGGAGCAAAGGAGAATGAAGAAAACCAAAAACACAAGGAAAATACTACTCCAAAGGACTAATGGACCACATGAATCACAGCCTCCACCAGCCTGAGCCCAGAAGAACTAGATGGTGCCAGGATACCACCATAGACCATTCTGACAGGGATCACAATAGAGGATCCCGGAAAGAGTGGTAGAAAAATGTAGAACAAAATTCAAATTCACAAAAAAAGACCAGACTTACGGGTCTGACAGAGACTAGAGGAACCCCTGAGACTATGGCCCATAGACACCCTGCTAGCTCAGAACTGAAGCCACTCCCAAAGTCCACCTTTCAGCCAAAGATTAGACAGGCCTATAAAACAACACAAGTGAGGAACGTCCTTAGTTCAATCAAGTATATGAGACCAAATGGGCAATACCTGCCCAAGAACAAAGACGAGAAGGCAGGAAGGGACCAGAAAACTGGACAAATAGATACAAGGAACCCGAGGTGGAAAGGGAAAGGGAGAGTGCTGGCACGGGGACTGCAACCAATATCACAAAACAATTTGTGTATAAATTTTTGAATGAGAAACTAATTTGCACTGAACCTGACCTAAAGCAAAATAAAATTTAAAAAAAAAATTGCTAACCAAATAATTTAAATTGAATCCCCTTTCTTAGCCCTATATTATAGCAAAGGTTTACCAATTTAAAACTGTGGTTTTGACACAAATGAATTGAGCAGTTGGACAGAATACAATGTCAAGAAATAGACCCAAATGTCCACTTACCCAGAGTTGAGCCAAACTTCACAGGTTAAGGGTACAGTCCTCCCCAAGACTGCCCTTACTTCAGATACCAACTGCAAGCTTGGGGTCCCCAGGCCACCTTCACTTCTGACCAGCTGGCTACAAATTTGGAGGTTCCCACTACCCCCTCAGGTTCAATAATTTGCTCAAATGTCTCACAGAACTCAGAAAAGTACTATACTTAATGATGACAATTTTCAGTAAAACGATACAAATCAGAATCAGCCAAAGGGAGAGATATATAAGGAGATGTCTGGGAGGTTCCCAAACACAAAATCCATTCATTTGAGGTGTGACAATACACAGACTACTGTCATTCAGGGATGTTCACCCTCACCAAGGGCCTAAAGCCAAAAAAAAAAACCAGTTGCCATTGAATTGACCTCATGTGTGCAGAGTAGAACTGCACTCTGTAGGATTTTCAAGGCTGTGACCTTTTGAAAGCAATTTTGAGGCCTTTCTTCCGAGGGGCTTCTGTTGTTGTTATGTGCCATCGAGTCAATTCAGACTCATAACAATCCTATAGCACAGCGTAGAACTGCCCCGTAGGGTTTTCAAGACTATTAGAATCTTTACAGGAGCAGACTGCCACATCTTTCTCTCATGGAGTGGCTGGTGGGTTTGAACCATCAACCTTTCAGTTAGCAGCTTAGCACTTAACCCCTGTGCCACTAGGGCTCCTTGAGGCACCTCTAGGTGGGTTCAAACTGCCAACATTTCACTTAGTAGTTGAGCTTTTAACCATTTCCACTACCCAGGGACTCCTATGGCCTAGTCCCTCTTTAAAGGGCTTACACCTGATTAAGTCAGGCCCACCATCCTAGTATCTCTTTTAAGAGGTTTGGGACTTTAATTACTTTTGCAAAATCCCTTCATAGCAGCACCTAGACTAGTGTTTGATTGTATAACTGGGAGAAGGTGTGTGTGTGTGTTCTACAAAATGGCTGCTGCCTCCCTTCTGTTCTCCAGCTCTCCAGAATTTCACTTGTATCTTGCCCTAATTGGTAATATACTAGAAAGAGAATTCTGAGAAATACAGTTTCAGCCTAGCCAACTGACACATCACAAAGTCATCACATACAGATTCAAAGGACCTAACAAATTTCAAGCAGAATATATGCAAAGAAATTGCACATAACCACAGTACAGGTAGTCCCTGAAGTATTTGAGTTACCACAAACCCCCCTTACGACCTTCAGTTTTTTTTATTTATATATTTTTAAATGTATGTATTAAAATGTATCTATAAGTTTATAGGTAATGTTTTCAACTCGCAAAGACGAAGATTGGATTTATAAAGATACTGATAATAAAAGGCAATACCAATGAAAACTTAAAAAAAAAAAAAGGCATATTCAACTTATGTCAGACCTGACAGGGTCAGAACCGACTTACAACGGAGTAGTCGGGATGGAACCCCGTCATAAATTGGGGACTACTTGTGTATTGAAAGTGCAGAAAACCAGTTATGCTAGATGGAGTGGGCGGGGGAGGCTGCGAGGGCAAAGAGGCTTCCAGTACCGAAACCTCGGACCAACCCTTGTCCTAGGACTCACTGGCCTGGAGGCAGAATGAAAACCACAACTCCCAGCAACCCTAGGCCCAAAGCAGGGGCGCGGCCAAAGGCGTGTGGGCGGGGCCTCAATAAAACCCCTCCTTGGCGGGGGGGGGGGGCCTGGGCTAATCTTCCACGAGGAGCATCTCGGGAAGTGGCGGGAGCTGCCGCTATGGCGGCGCAGCAGGAGCCAGGACCGCCGCAGGAGAAAGGAGATCAGCCGGAGAAAGGAGCGCAGGTGATGGATGGGTCGGGAGTGGGGATTTAGAGATTCCTGGAACCGGCGTCTTTGACACAACCTCCCCTGACAGCGGACCTCCTGGGAACCTTGTCTACCTTTTCTGTCTCCCTCCGTCGACACGTCCATCTTTAGTGCCGCCTTCAGGACCTGCAAGCTCCTTCTTCTCGGTAGACCCACCAGGAAAGAGCGTTTCCTTTCCTTCCCGGGCCTTTAACTTGCTTGTACTCGGGCTGGGAGAGGCGTTTAGAAGCCGGCTAGTAGGAATCCCTTCCCAACAGACAGGAGTGGGATTTTTGAACCCAAACCTACCTGCCAGTCTATCCTCGCCCTTCGCTGCTGCTTCCTCCTAGAATTTCCGCACCTGAGCTGCTTGCATGCGCCGCATCCCATCTCTGGGAGCTTACAGAGACTACGGGGGTTATGATGCTTTGAGGACAACTCATTTTCAGACTGCATATATAAGAATGCTTTCACATCTGTGTATTGAGCTTACGGTTTTTCGAGTGATACAAATTATTAATATAAACTGCGTTTTGTAGCTTCGGGAGAGAATGGATTTTTCTGTGGTTTTGCGCCATTGTTTATTGGGCCTATCACTTTTTTAGTTTTTTCTTGACACTTGCTATCTCCCTAGACAAATTAGGACGTGAAGGGGATGCCAGGATATTCATAGAAAACGTTTAGTTTGCTTTTGGTCACTTCTCTGTCGTATTTGCTTAGGGTCATTCCACTGAACAAAACTTTCAATGTCTTCCTTTTAATGGTTAGGTAGCTGCCTGGTTGAAAAAAATATTTGGAGATCATCGCATTCCACAATATGAGGTGAATCCACGGACCACAGAGATTCTGTATCACCTTTCAGAACGCAACAAGGCCCGGGACAGGGATGTCTCCCTGGTAATAGAGGACTTGAAACAGAAAGCAAGCGAATATGAATCAGAAGGTGAGATTAATTCCAGAGTTTGAAAACATGATAACCAGAGGTGACCACATTTTAACCCTAAAGAATAGAAGATTAATTTTAGTGTAGACTACAGTCATGGCGTTGCCTAACATCCATGATACATTATATGAAGTAGGACGTTATGTGATTTGGTTGTTGTGCGACCACCGTAGTATGTAGTATATAACCTTATGGGACCACGGACGTATATGTGGTCGGACATTGCCCCAGTGGACATTATGTGGTGCATGACTGTAATTGTTAGCTTTGCTTCATTATTTTACTCAGATTTGCCTCCTACTCTTGTCATTGTAACTTTCTTAAATCCTAAATCTCACGACAGTACACACTTGCTTAAATATTTTATTGGTATTCTGATAGAAAAAAAGTAAGTTCTAGAACTTGTTAACCTGACACACAGATGCCGTTGTGATTTGGTCTATCACCTATCCTCATGCTTTAGTCATAATGAGCTATTAAGACATCTGCAGTGCTCTGCCATGAACTGTTAGACTTGACAAATCACCCCATTTCTGTGTACTCAGGATTACACTAGCATTTTCTGTTGGGCAAATGACATTTGAAAAAGTACATTCAGGACTATTTTTATAATACAAGCCACAAAAATAAAGATTGATAAAAATCTTTTTAGGTGGTGAGAATATACAAAAGAGAAAAGAAGTGGGGCCTCCATTTGCCCTATGTTTAACCAGGTGGATTGACGTCTATTACATATGATGTTTTGAATGTAACTCGATCTATATTGTAGTTCTATTACATATTTGCTCTTTCCACAATTAAAAAAAATTAACATAGGATAAAATTGCCTTTTTGATTTGGTGTACAGTTCTATGAGTTTTGACACAAATATAAATTCTGGAGCCATCATCACAGTCAGGATACAGAACAGTTTCATCACCCCAAAGCTCCCTTGTGCTGCCCCTTTGTAGTCATACTCTCCCATATAGATGGTTTTAAAATTGTTTTGTTTTTAAATAATTTTATTTTGTCGTTATTAAAATATTGTATGAGGAAAAGAGCATTGAGTCTAGAAAAATTTTGTTTTGTAATAGCTTTTTTTGTCTGTTTCTGTAAACCAGAAATCTAAGAATTTTCAAAGTAAAATGATTTAGTTCTGTCTTTAAGCTCAAGCACCATTTACAGTGACAAATATTAAATAGCAAATGTTTCTGTTAATGTGTTGAGTTCTGTCAAGTCGATTCTCACTCATACGACCTTTTAGGACAGAGTAGAACAGATTTTCCTAGGCTGTAATCTTTACGGGAGCGGAACTTCAGGTCTTTTTTTCTCCCAAGGAGCTGCTCTTGGGTTCGAACCAACAACCTTTTGGTTAGTGGCAAAGCGCTTAACCATTGCACCACCGAGGCTCCTTCTGTTAATATAGAATGTTGTTAATATAAACCAAAAAAACCAAACCTGTTGCTGTTGTCAATTCCAACTCATAGCGACCCTATAGGATAGAGGAGAACTGCCCCATATGGTTTCCAAGGAGCAGGTGGTGGATTCGAACTGCCAACCTTTTGGTTAGCAGCCAAGCTCTTAACCACTGTGCCACCAGGGATAGAATTCTGTTAATATAGACTACAGAATTTTGGCACAATTTTCCATATTAAGGTATCTATAAGAGCCCTGTCAACATCAGTCTCAGTGAACTATGTATAGTCATGCATTTTCATCATTCCTTCTCTTTCCTAAGTTTTCCCTCTTTTTAGTCAGTGAAAGTGTCATACAGTAAACATAAAATCAGTGGAACTTTGAAACAAGTGTAGATTCATGTGTATTGCAGAGGATGAGGACAAACCACCTCAGTTTGTAATTTGAAAAATTCTGAGTCGTGATACCATATTGCTTTCTGGACTTGAATGACTTTTGAGTTAAAAATCATAAGAAAATCATACAAATCATTATTAAGGTGAATTTTTTATTACTGCAAAATACAATGCTTTGCGGCACAGGAGATTGGACCACTTTGGAAATATTTTCAGGAGTTAAAAAGGATGTACAAATTTTGTATGAAGTAGTCTTTTTATAATCATAAGGAATTCAGATGAAGCTAGTTAAACCACATTCTTCATGCTGCCATATCTTTAGTTGGGGAGGAAAACAAGAAGCAATTCCAGAGTGTTTCTTGGTTCTATTCTACTCTCAAGGCTAAGTTGATTTCTTAGGTGAAGATATCAAACTTCAAGTTTTATGGAAGATCAAATCATCATCATTTTTTATTATTAATCGTGATGGATCTGCTAACAAAGAAAACTGAGTTCTGCTACTTGTTTGTACACAAATGTTAATACCGTACCTGGAAGGTCACTGGTAGGTCATCTAATATTTTTCATTGAATTGAAGGTAGCTAAAGATAGTATGGAACAGTAGTTCTCAATCAAGGGCAATTTGGGGACATTTGGCAATGTCTAGAGATAGTTTTGGTTGTCTTAACCTGAAGCTGGAGGGATGCTACTGGCATCTAGTGGGTAGAAGTCTGGGATGCTGCTAAACATCCTATAATGCACAGGAAAGCCCCCTAAACAGAGTTATCCAGCCCAAAACATCGGTAGTGCCAAGTTTGAGAAACCCTGGTATAGAAAAAGAAATTTTTCTTTAGCTTTAGAAACTACCACCAATACTGGTTGACATGTTTAAAGGCATTTCTGAATTCTTTGAAGGGAATAATCAGATTAGGAAAAAAAAAATGAACAGGATATGTAAGTGCTTAGGCTCTAGCAATTCTTAGTTTGTGCTCAAGAGTTTCTGGCCAAACTCGAAGGATAAAATCCTTCTGTTTGGGGATGTACTGTGGTGTTTTCTGCCGTGCAGGGACTTTGGAAACTGCCTGGGGGTCTATGAGAAGACCTCAACTTTAATACCTGTTACAGTCTGTTAAGCAGATGTATTTGAGTGTCAGTCAAAGATTATTGTCCTATACTCAGGTTCATCTTAGTTTTAAAGAAATATAGTTGACCAGTTTAGGGGCTAAAGGCCACACTTACCCTAATTAGGGAATATTAGAGAAAGCTTAACTGCTTTAAATTTCAAAACAAAACAAAAAAAACCTTCCTGTAGATAATTGGCATATTTGACACATATATTTTTAGTTATTGAATACAGTGAACCTGAAACTTAAAACAGTCACCAACTGGCATCATTGCTCATTATATTTGATTCACTTATACTCAGTGTATCCATTTTTCTGAAGTGATAAAGTTCTCAAGGACAAATTCTTACAATGTTTTTGTAATAAAATACTTTATGGTCTGTAGGATGAATTCATGCACTGTTTTCCAGAAGGCAAGCCAAAAATCACATTTAGAATATTATGACAACTGTTTTCTCAATGATATTCAGTCTTTGTCAGAAGATCTCCAAGAGGAGTTTTTTTTTTTTTTTTTAATTCAAGTTTAATTCAGGCACCAGAAATAGCTTCCTGAAAATCAGGAATTAGTAAAATAGCCCGTTGTTCACTCCCAAACAACTAAGTAGGCTTTGCCCATCAGCGTAGTCTCTTAACTGACATATTTGTAAAACGAGTTTTTCTATATTTCTGAATTTGAAAACAAAGTCTTATGCTAGGCTCAGTTATTAATATGATTTACACCATGCCCTGTAATAATAATGAAAATAGCCAATAGTTGTGTGGTTATCATGTACTAAACACTGGAAGAAGTACTTAACATGTGTTCATTAATTCTCAAAACAATCCTGTGAGGTAGGTTTTATGAGGTACCCCGTCATGCAGATGAGAAAACTGAGGCCCAGAGAAGTTAAGTCACTTTGTCAAAGTCCCATAACTAGTAAGTGGTGGAGCTGAGATTTGAATCAAGACATTCTGGTTCCAGAGCCCATACCATTATGCTATCCTCAAATTTCTGATCATTTAGGTTGGAAACTTTGTGGCTTATAAATACCAGTACCAGTTGGAGAGGTGGGGGGTGGGGGTGCAGTGCCTGAGGTCTTCTTGGTTTGCCTTTCCTGGCATATATCCACTGCCTCATGAACTGGGGCAAGGCCAGTCAAAGCCCCAGAATTCTCAGCATGCTGCCCCCAAGGTAGATACACTGTTATATGAGTGGAAGCTGGGCAGAAGAAGGGAGCCCACCCCTCTGACTATACTCCCCTGGGACAGCCTCAGCAGCAGGCAGCTGGCATCAGGATGAGAATTGCTGAAATCCTGCTTCTCCTGGGAAGAAAGGCCTCTGACTGGGAGCGTGGGAGAAAGGGAGTCTGTGTTTTTGGCTCTAGCAGTCTAGGGTGGAATCTCTGCCTCAGTGAGCTGGAAGAGGGAGGGAGAGGGTGGTCTTGGTTTAAATACCTTTCTATAGATTTTCTTGAATAGTTTCTTCATTTGCTGTATGACTTTAGGACCATTTCTAGAGGCTTAAAAAAAATTTTTAAATAATTTTCATCAGTTTTCTCTGGGGAGAGGGTCAGTGGAGCTCCTCACACTATGATGCGGTAAGTCGATCTCCTGATTGATTTTTGACAAAAGTGATAAGACAGTTCAATGGAAGAAAGAATAGTCTTTTGAACTAATGGTTCTGGAACAACTAGATTATCTACATGCACAAGAATGGAGCTGGACCTTTACCTCACACCATATATAAAAACTAACTCAAAATGAATCAAAGACATAAACGTAAGAGCTAAACGTAAAGCTCTTAGATGAGAACTTTGGTATATATATTTCTGACCTTGGATTTGGCAATGATTTCTTAGATACGACACCAAAGCACAGCAACAAGAGAAAAAATAGGTAAGCCAACAAAACTTTTTTTCTCAAAGGACACCATCAAGAAAGTGAAAAGACAATCCAAAGAATGGGAGAAAATATTTGGAAATCATACCTCTTAAGGGACTTGTATTCAGAAAATAGAAATAACTCTTCCAACTCAGTAATAAATAGACAAATGACCCCATTTAAAAATGGCTAAAAGATGGATATGAATGGACATTTCTCCAAAGAAGGTATACAAATGGCCAACAAGCAAATGAAAATATGCTCAGCATCTTCAGGGAAATGCAAATCAAAACCATGATGAAATGCCACCTTACATCCATTAGGATGGCTAGAATCAAAAAGTCAGATAACAAGTACTGGTGGGGATGTAGAGAAATTGGAACTCTCATACACTGCTAGTGGATATATAAAATGGTACAGTTCCATTGGAAAACAGTCTGGCAGTTCCTCAGATGGTTAAACATAGATTTTTCATAAGACTCAGCAAATCTGCTCCTAGGTATATACCTAAGAAGAATGAAACCATATGTCCACATAAAAGTATGTCCATGAATGTTCATAGCAGCATTATTCACAATAGGCAAAAAATGGAAACAACCCAAATGAACATCCACTCATGAATGAATAAATAAACTATGTGTCATGGATTGAATTGTGTCCCCCAGAAATATCTGTCAACTTGGCTAGGTCATGATTCCCAGTATTGTATGATTGTCTACCATTTTATTATCTGATGTGATTTCCCTGTGTGTTGTAAATGCTCTATCACTATGATGTAATACGATGGATTAGCGGCAGTTATATTGATGAGGTAGGTATACAAGATTAGATAGTGTCCTAAGTCAATCTCTTTTGAGATATAAAAGAGAGAAGCGAACAGAGAGACAGGGACCTCAAACCACCAAGAAAGCGTGCCAGGAGCAGAGCACATCCTTTGGACCTGAGGTTCCTGCACTAAGATGCTCCCAGAACAAGGGAAGACTGATGACAATGACCTTCCTCCAGAGCCAAGAAGAGAAAGCTTTCCCCTGGAGCCAATGCCCTGAATTTGGACTTGTAGCCTACTAGACGGTGAGAGAATAAATTCCTCTTTGTTAAAGCCACCCGCTTGGGGTATTTCTGTTATAAAAGCACTAGATGACTAAGACACTATGCTATATCCATATAGTGGAATGTTCCTAGGCAATAAAAAGAAATGAAGTACTGATACATGCTACCACATGGATAAACCTTGAAAGTGTTACATTAAGTGAAAGGTCTCAGGCACAAGAACCATATATAGTATGATTCCATTTATTTGAAATGCCCAGAATAGGTAAATTCCACAGAGACAAAAGGTCAGTAGTTTGAATCCACCAGCTGCTCCAAGGAGACCCTATGGGGCAGTTCTACTCTGTCCTATAGGGTTGCTATGAGTTGGAATCAACTTGACCGCAATGGGTTTTTTGGTTTATAGAGACCTGAAGTAGATTAGTCATTGCCTAGAAGTTGGGAGATGATGGCTAAGAGGTATGGAGGTTTCTTTTTGGGGTGATGAAAGTGCTCTAAAATTGTGGTGATGGCTGCATAGCTCTGAATATACTAAAAGCCATTGAATTGTATATTATATATGGGTGAATTCCATGGTATGTGAATTATACCTCAATAAAGCTGTTCAAAACAAAACATCTTAGTTACTGTGGAACTCATATCTTTTCAGCTAAGCATCTTCAAGACCTTCTCATGGAGAGTGTGAATTTTTCCCCCGCCAGTCTCTCTAGCACAGGTTCCAGGTATCTGAATGCTTTGGTTGACATTGCAGTGGTGCTTGAAACAAAGGATACCTCACTAACTAGGTAATTCTTGTGACGGTTTTCATTTCTGCTTTCATATATGCTGAGAACTTTTTCATTCTCTGGATAATTCTACATAGACAATAATAAATGCAAAAACACTGACTTTAACTCTTTAGCTTTGCTAGTGAGTATAATTAATTCAGATACATTTGACGTTGGTTAATTTTTAGTATGTTATTCTAGGATTACGTTTCTAAAGTTTGGTTCTCAGATATATGTGGGGAGGGATTAGGTATCACTTACACTGTTCCCCATAAACAATAAGAAAAGCAGTAGACTAAGTGATCTGGTTGAGAGAAGTGAATTTTGGTCATGGACCAACCCTGTTGGGTAGAGTAGTTAGGGCTTTTCATTCTTTATGACAGACATTTCAGCTATATACTGACATGATTCTTCTAACAACCTTAAGAGGAAACTGAGGCTCAAGAGCGCTGAAATAGCATCTAAGCTAGTAAGCGGCAGAGTTGGGGTTCCAACCTAGTATGACTCCACAGTCTGTATTACTGGTAGCCATATTTTAGCTGGATCTCTGCTGGCGCAGTGAATAAGAGTTTGGCTACTTGGCACAACTGAACTAACCCAAAAGCTAAGAAATTTCCTGAACATAACCAAACAATTCAAGGGACAGAGTAGCAGGGGCTGGTGTCTGGAGACCATGGTTTTGGGGGACATCTAGGTCAGTTGGCGTAACAAAGTTTATTAAGAAAATGTTCTGCATACCACTTTCGTCAGTGGTGTCTGGGGTCTTAAAAGCTAGCGAGTGGCCATCTAAGATGCATCAATTGGTCCCAACCCACCTGGAGCAAAGGAGAATGAATAACACCAAAGACACAAGGAAACTATTAGCCCTAGAGACAAAAGGGCCGCATAAACCAGAGACTGCATCAGCCTGAGACCAGAAGAACTAGATGGTGCCCAGCTACCACCAATGACCGCCCTGACAGGGAACACAAAGGAGAGTCCCTGATGGAGCAGGAGAAAAGTTTTGAGCAGAACTTAAATTTATGCAAAAAGACCAGACGTAATGGTCTGACTGAGACTGGAGGAACCCCAGAAGGCATGGCCCCCAGGACGCTCTGTTAACCCAGAACTAAAACCATTCCCAAAACCCACTCTTCAGACAAAGATTAGACCGGAGTATAAAACATAAAATAATACTCATGGAAAATGTACTTCTTAGTTCAAGTAGACACACGAGACTAAATGGGCGGCTTCTGTCCAGAAGCTGGATGAGAAGGCGGAAAGGACAGGAGCTGATTGGAGGGACACAGGAAACCCGGGGTGGAAAGGAGGAATGTGCTATCACATTATAGGGATTGCATCCGGTGTCACATAACAATATGTGTATAAATATTTGTATGAGAAATTAACTTGAGCTGTAAACTTTCACCTAAAGCACAATTTAAAAAAAAAAAAAAAAGTTCAGCTACTAACCAAAAGGCTGGCAGTTCAAATCCACCAGCCACTCCTTGGAAACCCTGTGGGGCAGTTCTACTCTGTCCTATAGGGTAGCTATGAGTCAGAATCAACTCAGTGGCAACGGGTTTTTTTGTTTGTTTACCACTCTTATCATTATAATCAGAGAACTGCACAGCTGTTCTTCTTAATTGCATTTGTAAGGGCTTGGAATTTATTTATATGCTCAAAGAGAGGTGTTTTAACTAGAAGAACATGTTGGCTGTATGGCAGCAATCTAACCTTGAATTAGGTCAGTTCAACAGACACCAAATACCAGTTACATCCCAGGTATTATGGTATAAGCATGGGGAGGCAGAGATGAATGGTAACCACCTTTAAGGACAGTCTCTGCTCAGAGTCAAATAAGCGATATGGACAAACTATGATATAATGTGACAGCTGCAACAATACAAGAAAGTGCAAGCTGTAGCTGGGTAGCACAGAGAAAGGAGTGGTGATTTCCAGGAAGGCAGGAATTTTACCTGAGTTTTGAAGGACAAGTGGAAATCTAGCGGCTGAGGAAGGGCATTCCAGGGAATGGGAAGAGCATGTAAAAAATGCATAGAGGTATGAAACAGAGTGGTCGTGTAAGAATCCACATAGATTATATGACCCAGCAATTCCACTCCTAAGTATACACCCAAAAGAATTGAAAGCAGGGACTCAAATAGACAGCTGGACGCCAGTGTTCATTGTGGCATTGTTCACTATAGCTAAAAGGTGGAAACAGCCCTAGTGTCCATCAACAGATGAATAAACATGTGGTGTATCTATACAATGGAATATTATTCAGCAATAAAGAGAAATAAAGTTCTGATATATGCTGTGATATGGATGAACCTAACAATAATTAGGCTGAGTAAAATAAGTCAAATATTGTATTATCCCACTTATATGAAATACCTCGAATAGGCAAGTTTATAGAGACCAAAGTTTATTAGTGGTTACCAGAGGTGGGTGGGAGGGTAAAAAGGAGGTATTGCTTAATGGGTACAGAGTTTCTGTTACGAGTGATGAAAAATTCTGGAAACAAATAGTGGTGATGGTTGTACAACACGGTAAACATAATATCACTAAATGGTACATCACAAGATAGTTGAAATGGCGAATGCTTTGTATTATATATTTCACCACAATAAAAATACATATTTAAAAAAAAGGAATCCATACAGAGGTAAAATAATTTTTATAAATGAGGGATAATTATAGTTATTGTCATTAATGTCCATTTATGTGACCAGATTTTTCTTTTAGTTTTATTCCTGCAGTGAATGATTTGACCTCGGATCTTTTTCATACCAAATCCAAAAATGAAGAAATCAAGCTTGAATTGACAAAACTTGAAAATAATCTAACTGGAACTTTAGTATTAGAAAAATGTCTACAAGAGTAAGTAATTGAATTGGAAGTGGTAACAGTTTTACAGAGCTTCAAACCATTTCGGTCCAGTTCAAACCCCTGCTGAGAATTTGCATTTCCACCCTAGATATACGGAATCAGAATCTATATTTTAACAAGACCCCCAGGCAATTCTTATGTATGATAAATTTTGAGAACCGCTCTCTGCTAGTGGTTCTCAGAATTGGTCCCTAACAAGCAACATTAGCATCACTGGGAATTCGTTAGAAATGCAGATTCTCAGCAGGGGTTGAACTGGACTGAATTGGTTGGAAGCCCTGCAATTTTAGCTTGGCAATAGGTATGATTTTTAAAAGAACATGTGAGGAAATGGAGCCCATAAAATATTTTTGAAGTAGAAGATGACTAAGGTGGAGGTGGGGGTGGTTGGGTACGGATTTACTTTACTTCATACAATTTACTTTTTTGCATTTCTTACAATTAACGTGGGTTTTTAAATGTATGTGAATTTTTCATTTTGTATTGTACAACTGAAAGGCACATTCTATTTTGTTGCCTTTTCTTATTATAGCTCTGGTATCTTTCTTTTGATGCTATGGATCTTCCTTAGGTCCCTGGACCTCCATAAATTAGAGGCTGTGGATCAGGAGTACGTATATGTAGAAGTAATTTGGTGGCGTATAAATTCATTCAGCAAATATCGGATATTTATATGCAAGGCAGTATGACGTGTCACATTTAGTAGACAGGCCTTGGCGCCTCCATATTTCACATTGGCTTTAGGATATATTAAGACACTCTTCAGAAGATTTACTCTCTCTAATTATATTTGGCATAGGTTAATCTTAAAATTATTTTGTATTTCTTGAGTAAAATCTTAGATGGTGATGTACAGGGCCAATGACCTGGAAGAATGCATGGTAGCTAGACTGGGATGTAAAATTTATGGGAGATAATCCATCAAGTAGGTTATCTACAATTCAGTAATTCAGATTTGCATCCAAAAAGTGGTAGAGTTTGTTTTTCTATAATAATTTCACTGAGAAGAAAATTTTTTTTTAACTTTACTTTCTGAAGGGATCTCAAGAAAGCAGAGCAGCATCTCTCTACAGAAAGGGCCAGAGTTGACCATCGTCTTCAGAACATGGACTTCCTAAAAGCAAAATCAGAGGAGTTCAGATCTGGGATCAAAGCCGCAGAGGTTTGTATGAAGGACTGAATACAGTGAGTTTTCTTTTATACTTTCTCCTTCACAACTAGGCAGTATTATTACTCCCTTTTTACAGATGATGGAACTAAAGCATAGGGAACATAGGTAACTTGTCCATTGTTACATAGCTACATAGTAGCAGATGGAGATCCAAACCCCAGGTGCTCAGGCTCTTAAGCCTTGTACCTGTATCGCCACAAATATGTTAGTGGGGAAGTGATTCATTCATAAAAGTCTTGGATGTACATTCAGTTTTTCATCTTTGCCACATAAATTCTCTTTACTGTTTTATATGTTGAAAACATTTCATGATGGTCACTTTGAAAATACTTTTTTTCACTGAACCCCCTTTTTCTGTAATTGTAGGAACAACTTTCAGCCAGAGGCATGGATGCTTCTCTATCTCACCAGTCACTAGTGGCACTATCAGAGGTGAGATTATTTTAACCTAATTCACCTTTCATTAGAATACTGGTCCAGAGTGTGCTTTTTCATTTCGTTTCTTTTTACAGAGCTTTAATTCACTATTGAACTGATTTATTTTTTATACTTTATGTTCACCAGTATTTATATCTTTCTTACTTCTTTAGCTGTGTATTTCTTCACATTTATTTGGTTTCCTTTACTTATTACTGTAGGCTAGAAACTCCTTGCTGCAGTCAGTTATATATTATTGATTTGTTTATTAAACCAGTATTTATTGAGGGACTATATGCCAACCATCTCGGTGCTGATATTTCTTCTCTTTCAGTGTACAATAAAAATGCAGATACCAAAACACCTCTAGTTTCCAAGTACAGTTCTGGATTTTTAGTTTGTATTAAAGTTTTTACCTATTTGGGTAGGAAATAGCAGAAAAAGGGGGTTTTGATTTATATCGTTGTTTGTAAGATTTCTTTTGACTTTCATTCTTGTAATCTAAAGTTTACCATTCAAAATATATATTTGAGACTCTGGTTGTTCCTGTATGTTCTGATTCGTATATTTTCCTGTTCTCAGAAAACATACTTAAATCCTATTCTTAATAAGTGGGAGTATAACTTTTCCATTTTAAGCATCTTACAAGTATTGTCTCTATTGGAAGTGAGTTTATTCATTTATCATTGAAGCTCTTTATTAGATACAGTATTTTAAAATATCATAACTTAATGCTTTATTGTGTTTTATTTCAGAAACTGCTGTATTTAGTTGCATTGTAAATGTCCCTATTACTCTGTGACTCTTTCTTTGTTTTACCCCCAGAAACTGGCAGAACTAAAACGACAGACTAGACCTTTGAAGAAAAAATTGGAATCCTATTTAGATTTAATGCCGGTAATTATTCTTATGAATTGAAAAAAAAAATCATCTTCTCCAGCCTCCTCCAAGGGCACTACATTTTCATGAAAATAGTGGGTCCATGTTTAGAGATTTAAAGTCAGTTGTGAGTTTCAGTATTACATGTACACTGGGTATACTTTCTGTAAGGTTTTTTGCCTTTTGTAAAAGGTCGTTATGTTTTTCCCTCAAGCCAAACTGAGACAATATAACCTTTCCTTGTTTTACTTTTCTTTAAAAGAATCCATCTCTTGCTCAAGTGAAAATTGAAGAAGCAAAGAGAGAATTGGTAAGTAGTTCTATTTTTTTCTTTAGATTTTTTTTTAAAGAAATAAACTAAACACTGATAGAGCGAAAGCTCCTTTCATGCTTCTTCTTTCCTTCCTCCTCAGAGGTAAACTACAGTCCCAAAGTTGCTGTGTATCATTCCATGCATGTTTTAGTACTTTTTTGACTTGTGTGTGTATATATATATATTTTTTTTCATAAAAAATACACAGTGGTGTTTTATGTTTTTTAAAAATTTGCACAAATTTTCTTCGGTGGAAAATGCAAAAAAAAAAAAACTACTGCTGTCGAGTCGATTCCAAGTCATAGCAACCCTATAGGATAGAGTAGAACTGCCTCATAGGGTTTCCAAGGCAGCAGCTAGTGTATTTGAACCACTGACCTTTTGGTTTGCAGCTGAGCGCTTTAACCACTGTGCTGCCAGGGCTCCTTGATAGCAACTGCATAAGAGCTGAAAAATGGAGGACTTTTCTAAGCTATGGCAAATGATGAGGAGTACCACAGGCTAGTCAGGAGTATGCTATGGAAGATAGCGTTGAAAAGGTCAACTGGTTTATGATTTAAAGCGCCTTAAATATAAAAAGGGTTGAGCTTGGAGGCTGTAGGGAAGCCCTAAAAGTTGCTGTGTGTTGCCTAGTTTTGTTTTTTAAGCTGAAGAGAAATGTGATCAAAGCTATGCATTTTGGTCAGGCCAGTGCTTTAGGAAGATTATTCTGGAAGCAGTGTATAGGGTGGATCAGAAGAGGGAGAAAGGAAATTACAGAAACCAGTTGGCTTATTTAGGCTAGATGAGAATGAGGACAGTGGCAATGAGAATAGAAAAGAGGGGATGCGAGAGACATCGTAGAAGTCTGTTGCTTAAGAGGTAAAGATTAGAAAAATCTGTTCATGTATTTTTACACTGATTCGTCTCTCTAAAATGTTTTTTTCCCCTCTTCAGATGTTTATTAGAATCAGAAGTCTGAAAACTTTTTGTAGAGGGTGGGGGTGGGGGTAGGGAGCATTTAGGTGTAAAAGCAAGGGAGTATCAAAAAACATATTTGATATTCATAATGGTATTTTTTATTTCAGTTTTAATGTTTATTTTTGCTTGTTTTATTTTAAATAATATTTGAAGTTAGAACACCTGTCTTATTTCCTTATTTATTTCCTGATCTTTGGTGTTCCTTTCTCTTATTAGGATACCATTGAAGCTGAACTTACACAGAAAGTGGAGATGATGGAACTGTGACCGCAGCCAAATGAACATCGTTTTTCCTAACGGTAAATTGAATAGGGCTTCAAAGAATGTTTTTTCGCTTGGCATTCCTTAGTGACTTAATTTCTGTGTTCTTAGATGAGATAATAACGTCATTATTGATAGAATACTGGTTTCTGCTTGTATATTGCATTTTTGTGCCCAAGTACAAAACAGTGTTTGTATTTAAAAAAAAAAATTTCTCTCTCCTTTTTTTTTTTTTAAGAATAAAAATGCCTTTTCTCTTGGTTGTTGGTTTTCTCGGTTGCTGGTTGATAAGTATCTTTCAACAGATCCATTGGGTGAATGCTATGTCAGTTGTCATGCATCCGCTTGGTGGGTCAGGTAAAGTGACAGGGAAGGGTCCGCAACTCCAGTTATGTTTCTCCCACTCTCTTCCCTCTCCTGGGTTCTGCTGTTGTCCTTTCTGATCAGCTCACCTGCCTTCCTCCAAATGTTAATACATGCAGGAATTTCATTTATGGAAAAGATCTTTTAAATCAATAGTCGAAAAATGGATAATTCAATACATGGTGCAGGATCCATACTTTATACCTTACGTCGGGATGAACTCCAGAAACCAGAGGTTTAAATGTAAAAAATTTTAAAATAAGGGTAATACAGGCAATCCTTGGGTTATGAACATATGACTTAAGGACAACTCATACTTGCCCTTTAATGTTATGTAAATTTGTCCTCACTCTGAATTAGACTGGACTACAAGACATAAAATAATACTCGTGAAGAGAGTGCTTCTTCGCTCAAGTGATATATGAGACTAAATGGGCAGCTCCTGTCCGGAGGCGAGATGAGAAGGCAGAAAGGGTTAGGAGCTGGTTGAATAGACATGGGAAATCCGAGGTGGAAAGGAGGAGTGTGCTGTCACATTATAGGGAGAGCAACTAGTGTTATATAACAATGTGTATATAAATTTTTGTATGGGAAATGAACCTGAACTGTACACTTTCACTTAAAGCACGATAAAAAAAAATTTATCCTCACTTTGAAACGACTGAACCAACCCATACTCACAACAAATTCCTCACAATTACCTTCACTTGATGAACTAAAGTAAGGCACTTGTTCTGACTTACCTACAAATTCAACTTAAAGACACAGTTACGAACAGATCTCATTCGTAACCTGGGGACTGCCTGTATAATCATAATATATAATATTACATGTATTAATGTGGTATATGTTATATACCCCGCAAAAAACCCATTGCCGTCGAGTCGATTCTGATTCATAGCGACCCTGTGGGACAGGGTAAACTGCCCCATAGGGTTTCCAAGGTTGTAAATTTTTATGGAAGCAGATTGCCACATGTTTTTCCAGCAGTGTGGCTGGTAGGTTCGAACTGCCAACCTTTTGGTTGGCAGCTGAGCGCTTTAACCACTGTGCCACAAGGGTTCCTTATATGTTATATATATAATAATAAAGAGAATCATGGGGGGAGTTTTAATGTCTTGATTTTTAAATAATCTTAGAGTCAGAAACGTGACCAAAACCCAGGAGCCATAAATGAAAGGATTGAAATATTTGAAAATTTCAAAATACTAAAAACCATGCGAATCAAAACCACGAGATACTACTTCACTCCCACTAGGATGGCTATGATATTTAAAAAAAAGGAAAATAGCCAATGTTGGCAAAGATATAGAGAAATTGGAACTCTCACCCATTGCTGGTGAGAAGGCAAAATGGTACCACCACTGTTGTAAACAATTTGGGAGTTTCACAAAAAGTTAAACAGAACTACCATAAGGCCCAGCAATCCCAATCCTAGTTATATACCCAAAAGAAGTGAAAGCAGAAATGCAAACAGAAATCTGTATACCAGGGTTCATTGCAGCACTCTGCACAATAGCCAGGACGAAGAAACAGCCTAAATGTCCATCAACAAATGAATGGATAAACAAAATGTAATACATCCATACAACAGATGCTCAGCCATAAAGATAAATGAAGACCTGATACATGCTACAACATAGAAGCCTTGAAAACATTATGCTGAGTGAAAGAAGTCAGTCACGAAACGACAAATATTATATGATCCCACTTACATGAAATAGGCAAATGTATAGAGACCAAAGCTTATTAGTGGTTACCAGAGGTAAGATGAGGGGGGAAGGGGAAGTCATTGCTTAGGGGACACTGAGTTTCTGTTAATGGTGGAATAATTTGGAAGAGGATAGTGATAATGGTTGCACCACATGACGACATAATCAATATCCATGAATTGTACGTGTAAAAATTGTTGAGTTGGCACGTTATATATATATTTACTACAATTTTTAAAAAGGGGGATGATGTACTGTCTTAGAATCCTACTGCTGGTGTAACAGAAATATCACAAGTAGGTGGCTTTAAAGAACAGAAATTTATTTCACAGTTATAGAGGCTAGAAAGTCCAAGTCAGGGTCTGGGCCATGTTGATTCCTTCCGTAAGCCTTTCTCCTAGTTTCTGGTGTCTGCCAGTGTTCCTTGGCTTTCCTTGGCATCTGTCTTCCCTGTATGTGTCTCTGTGTCTATTCTGCTCTTTTTATAACTCAGGACTGCCAGAAGTTCAAGCTGGATTCAGAAGAGGATATGGAAAGAGGGATATCATTGCTGATGTCCAATAGATCTTGACTGAAAGCAGAGAATACCAGAAAGATGTTTAGCTGTGTTTTGTTGACTGTGAAAGCAGTTACTGTGTGGATCATAACAAATTGTGGATAACAAGCTGAACTATATGAAAAAGAGTATGGCATCAGGATTGGAGGAAGATTCGTTAACAACCTTCGATAAGCAGATGATACAACTTTGCTTGCTGAAAATGAAGACAACTTGAAGCACTTATCATGAAGGTCAAAGACCGTAGCCTTCAGTAGGGGTTACACCTGAATGTAAAGAAAATGAAAATCCTTATAACTGGACCAATAAACAACATCGTAATAAATGAAGAAATTGAAGTTGTAAATTTCATTCTACTTGGATCAACGATCAGGAGTCAAGAAATCAAATGACAAATTGCATTGGGCAAATCTGTTGCAAAAGACCTCTTTAAGATTTTAAAAAGCAAAGATGTAACTTCGATGACTAAGGCGTGCCTAACCCAAGCCATATGTTTTTTAATCGCCTCGTATGCATGCGAAAGCTGGACAACAGAAAAGGATGAAGAATTGATGTATTTGAATTGTGGTGTTGGTTAAGAATATTGAACATATATACTGTGGACTGCCAGAAGAAGGAACAAATCAGTCTTAGAAAAAATACCACCAGAATGCTCCTTAGAAGCGAGGATGATGAGACTTCAGCTAGCTTACACGTGCAACGTTTTGTTCTTTTACATATAAGGTTGCCATGCGTCGGAGTTGACTTGATGGTAACTAACAACAACCACCTGCATATTTCTTGGAAATATATACCAGGGTAAGTCAAAAAGTATTGCTACAAAATCATAAAAACCTTTATTAAACAAAAATGTCAAAATGTGAAGCTATTGTTTCTTGACATATGCTCCATCTAGGTCTATACATTTCTGAAGGCCGTGTTCCCATCTCTCTAACCCTTCCCTGAAGAATTCTGCACGCTTCGATTTACACCACGTCAAAACAGCAGTTTTGGCATCCCCGAGGGACTCAAATCATGTTCCTTTTAAACGTTCTTTGAGTTTTGGGAGCAAAAAGAAGTCTGAAGGGGCAAGATCTGGGCTGTAGGGTGGATGGGGTAAGGTTTCTTAACAAAATTCTCATAGGACAGCCCTTGCTACCTTTGAAGAATGAGCAGGCGCATTGTTGTGATGGAAAAAAATTTCTCAGCACAACTCTCCTGGCCTTTTTCTCACCAATGCATTTTTCAGTTTTCTTAAAACTTCTTCGTAATAAGCCCCCATGATCCTAGGAATATATCCGAGGGAAATAAGAGTCGTCACTCGAATAGACATATGCACACCTATGTTCATGGCAGCGTTGTTCACAATAGCAAAATGATGTAAACAACCTAGATGCCCATCAACAGATGAATGGATAAACAAACTATGGTACATACACACAATGGAGTACTATGCTATGAGAAAGAACAACAATGAATCTGTGAACCATCTCATAACATGGCTGAAACTGGAGGACATTATGCTGAGTGAAATAAGTCAATCACAAAAGGACAAATATTGTACGAGACCGCTATCGTAAAAACCCATGAAAAAGTTTACACACAAAATGTAACAGTCTTTGTTGGTTACCAGGGATGGGAGGGGAGGGGGGAAATACTAAATAGGCAGTAGATAAGTGGTATCTTGGGTGAAGGGTGAGACAGTACACAATACAGGGGAAACTAGCACAACTTGTACAAGGAAAGGTCATGGAAGCCCCATAGACACATCCAAACTCCCTGAGGGACTGAATTGCTGGCGGACGGCTGTGGGGACCATGGTCTCGGGGAACATCTAGCTCAACTGGCATAACAGAGTTTATAAAGACAATGTTCTACATTCTACCTTGGTGAGTAGTGTCTGGGGTCTTAAAAGCCTGTGAGCGGCCATCTAAGATACTCCACTGGTCTCATCCCTTTGGGAGTAACGGAGAATAAAGAGAACAGGATACAAGGAAAAGATGAGTCCGAAGGACTAATGGGCCACGTCTACCAAGGCCTCCACCGGACTGAGTCCAGTACAGCTAGATGGTGCCCGGCTACCACCACTGCTGCTCTGATCAGGATCACAACAGAGGGTTCTGGACAGAGCTGGAGAAGGATGTAGAACATAATTCTAACTCACAAAAAAAAGACCAGATTTACTGGCCTAAAGGAGACTGGAGAAACCCTGAGAGTATGGCCCCCAGACACCCTTTTAGCTCAGTGGTGAAGTTATCTCTGAGGTTCACCGTTCAGCCTGGGGGTGGATAGCCCCGTAAAACCAAATGGGACTAATGAGGTACAGTAGTCCAGTGACAAGGGCCAGAAGGCAGAAGGGGACAAGGAAGCTGGTGATAGGGAGCCCAGTGTTGAGTAAGGATATTGTTGATGTGTTGTGAGATTGTTAACCATTGTCATAGGGCAACATTTGTAGTAACTGTTAAATGAGAAACTATTTTGTTCTGTAAGCCTTCATCTTGAGTGAGAATAGCAGCACAATTGGAAGAGCGTAGTCAATGTCACTGAACTGTGCATGTAGAAATTTTTGAAATGGTGTA